GATCGGTTGAGCGTTATCACCCGTTAACAGTGTGAGAAGTGACAACGATGGCTGAGACGCCGCCGCAGACCCCGTCGTTGGAAAAGGCTCGCCGAAAAAGAGCAAGGAAAAACAAGAAGAGATCGAGCGAGCACCGCAAGAAAGGACGCAAGCGCAGCTCGAAATACACAGGATAGGTGCTGAGGTGGAATCGGAATGTGTTTGGCATGGCTGAGTGACATATGTCGTGTTAATGTTCTTGTTATCCTGTGTCACAAGTGTATGTCGAGCGAGTCAAAGTGTTCCGTGCGATGATGTGATGTATAGTGTTGTATAATTGTTGTAAAGACAGAACTTTGTACGTTTGTATTGTTTGCAATGTGTGATGAAGTGTTGTAGTCATGTACCTGTGGCTATATTTCATGTGTTGTGGAATTGAATTACAATGTACAGTTGTATTGAGTGATCTATTGTGAATGTGAAGTGTCATGAGCGACGGATTGTGTTACGGTCTGTGAGAGTGTGTGGTGACTGTTCGCGCTCGTTTGTGTGGTTTTGAATATTATGAGATAATATTCTTAAAGTGGGGGGCAGTGTCACAGAACGAGCGCTCAAAAAGAGCGCGCCGCCAACTCCTTGCGACGAAACGCCGGAATGACGCCCGTGATGTCAACGATAAAAGAAAAAAAAGAAAACCAGCTCCCAGGGCACGCTCCCTCTCCCCGCGGAAGCGTGGCTTCGCCGACGAACCTCCTCATCCCACAACGGCGGCCGAGCAAGCACTGGATTTTTCTAGATGGAAAGGGGCGTGGTCATACCGAGTTGAGTCATCGGCCGCGGAGGGCATTCCAACCGTCTCGCCTTCTCCCCAGCCTTCGCTGCGTATCGCGCCGACGAAATGACGAGAACCGTCTGGAGTCTCGCGCGGAAAGTATTTAATCAAGCAGCCGAGATCAGAGAGCAGGAGAAGACGGAGTTAGCGCCAGAGTGCGTAGGGATTTCGCCGTGTAGTCGGCGAAGGTTTTCTCCGCAGGGACAAAGCAGGAGAAGACGGAAGTTAGCGCCAGAGCGCGTAGGGTATACCGCTGTGTAGTCGGCGAAGGTTTTGTCCGTAGGGACAAAGCAGGAGAAGAAGAGGATTTCCACCTAAGGGGTGAAGGCTCGAGCTACAGGCAAAAGCGTGTGTCTACCACTATCGAGCGAAGACGCGTGGCAACAGCTGCGTGTGTGAAGCCGACGTGTTTCCGGCGAAGAAGTTTGAAGCTTGGAGAGTGGCCGATTGAAGACGCGAGGTTTCCTAGAAGAGAAACTTCCGCGAGGTTTCCTGGAAGAGAAACTTCAAGGGGCGACGGACGACGACCACGCTGGGCTTTGAGTGAGTGATTCTCGGAAGAGTATCATCCAGACATTTGTTCCAAGAACTGTGGACTGGATAGGTTTTCTATCTCTTTAGTCTTTAAGTGTCTTGGTTGTTCAAGGCATGCGACTGCATTGTAGTGCGTATCGTTGTCTGTGTCCGTTGTTTCGAGTGTGGCTGATTGTACTGTGTAGTACGTTGTTTGTTTGGTGATATACTGTACTCAACTATTGTGGAGAGTGCATACTTGTGTGTTGTTTTGATCTGCAATTATTGAGAATATAATTTTGTTTGTTTATCAACTCTCGACTCTGACTTGTTCTTTGGACCACAGCCGGCGTCCGCTGGCGCGCCAAAAAGGACCACTTCTAAATTGTACACGCTTTCGTGGTGCGGTTCGGGGGGCCGATATTTCGGCCCTTGGAATTAGCCCGGCGATCGCCTCCCTAATTAATGGGACCTGGGTGACACTTGTGCCCAAAGCATCTTTCTTGAAACTGTAATGGTAATACATTAGTTGTTGGACTCTGCCAGCTTTTCGATGATTATATATAATTTTACCCTTGATGCCTATGTAGTTGAAGAAAAAATAATATAATTCATTGTCCTGCTCTAGATGATGGTACAGAATGAACACTTGTCTGGGTACCACTAGAAAAATAAAATGAAACAAGATTATATTGTATGGAGATGAAGTGACAAAAGACTAAGGACAACAACAGTACATCGGCCAATCCCCCACAATTGGTGTGAGCCACAACATAAGGCTAAGAACAAGAACAAGCTGAAAGGCGCGCGAGTGTTTCATTGAGGCACAGTGACTATTGCCTGTGTTTTTCCTCTGTGAATCTATCTTGTACATAAGCCACCAACCGTGTGACATATTGGTGAGAGCACATGGGTACAACACCAGGTAACGGAGCTTCAGAGCGATGGTCGCATCGCTTTCCTGGCCATGGCCAACGTTGAAGGCTCCGCGTCAACGTCAGCGTCTCTGTGGAACATGGCGTCGCCACCATAGTTTTTACGCCACTTAAGGATCCCGGTATATTCTTCGGGACCGATGGCGTCGACGTTGAAGATTGGTTGGCCATGTTCGAACGTGTGAGAGGGTCGAAGAGATGGGAAGGCACACTTCAGTTGGCTAACGTGTTTAAATTAAGAGGCACGTCCAAGGTGTGTTATGAAAACATCTAATAACTCACAAGCTACGATCAGTGCAAATAAATTATGCGAGAGAGATTTGGAAAATCCGCCAGCCATAACATTGCCGCCAAAAAGGAATTGGGCTTCCGTGTCTAATGTCTCATGGAATCGTATCTCTCATACATTAAAAACAAGCCGGCCCTCAGCCGAAAGGCCAAAAGTGTCCTGACGGTGGACGACAAGGTCGGGCATGTGCTAAAGAGATCGCCGACGACGCATGCAATATCCTGATGTGCAAAGGCTGTTCCATTATGGACGCGATCTTCAAGATGGTCGGGAGTTCGAGCAAGTGAAAAGTCGCCGCAATCTGCAACTACTCGCTATACTTCCGAACACCGCTGCGATGTCGACTTGCAACGTTGAGTCCTCACAACAACGTTCATCGCCACCGGAAGAACAGACAACAATGATGCGTCGCCAACTGGAAGCAATGGCGCCCTGAGCGTTCTATGCCACTCCTGTAACCGCCCCTCTCGTGTAACCGCCCCTCTTGCCATGCGCTCCAAAACACCGCAGTGCATTCCGTCTGCCATGTCACCACACCAAGAGTCAGTGAGCGAACGCTATTTTCTGATGTCCTCCTCCGACTGACAGTTTCTTCCACATACTCGAAACCCGAATAAGAGGCGAACTGCAAAGGGCTGCCCTATATTTTAGAGTGAAAGCTGTTATGAGATAAGAACACGTGTCTCGCGCGGCACCGTAGCTTTCCGCCACCGCAGCCGCCGGTGTCCGTAACCGGTATCGAACAAAGAACTCAGCTAATACAAAACACCAATGACACAATGGAACTCAACCCTCGTGCACTGCGTGCCAGCCCAGTATTCTACCACTGAGCCAATGCCAGTGCTTGAAATTTGTTTGTAAACTGGCCTTAGGCAGGCTCCATGTCTGAAAAGGAATCGCGTTAATATGAGTAATAAAGCGTTTTAGAACACCAAAGGATCAGCTAGGCGTAACACAATAGCCAGTAATAGCTAAGCGGTTCAGTGGGCCAGTGGGTCCAGTGGACAAGGGGAGGGGGCAGCAGAGCGCGAGACGAAAAAAGAGTAATAGCTGAGCGTCGCCTCTGTCGTTTCAGCTGATTGCATTGCTGCGCCATCTGTTGAACAACGTTGAAGTTACTCTCGATTGAGCAGAGTCTTGGCTGCATCACCTGCCGAATAAAATTGAAGTTACTGCGAAAAGAATATTACGAAAGGCATTTTTTATTACATAGCAGCTGTAAAGTAGAAATGAATTTTCGTTTTTTTTGCATTACGTGATGTTCGCAGTGGTTTGAATGCATGACGAACTGTTCTACGGTCGAATAAAAAAGTCGGCGCTGAAAGCTTGCAGGAGAAGCCAAGCCAAGCAATCGAGTGGGTGTATTTTTAGCGGCACCGTTGCTGCAGTGTTTTGCAATTCGTTGCTGTTGGCGCTATGCCGCGAAGCGTATTGCAAAACTCTTTGCTTCTTTCTCAACTCAAATGGTCGTAGAGAGAAGATCTAGTAGCACTAGAGGTGCTAGGCGAGACTCTCCGTGAACCACTTTCCTCTCGTGGCCTGCTCAACATCGACGCTATGGACAACGACATGTTCCGAACTTGTTTTAATTTTGAGAAGGAGGACATAGTGAAAGTACGAGTAGCTTTGCGCGTTTCGGAAACGGTTATTACTGCTCAGAGAGTGCCGATCCCAGGAGACGAAGCCCTCTGCATTACTCTTCGATGGCTGGCCTATCCGAACCGACTTAAAGACCTCGAGAACGTCTTCGGCCGACACAGGTCGACAATATCGTCCCTGACGATTGAGGTGTTGAGGCACATTGATGAGAAGTTTTTCTACTTGCTGCCTGACCATCGACATGCTGGAGAATTTCTCGAAGGTAAGGAGCAATGACAGCAGAATGGAAGCTGCATTTGTGCAAATTGGAGATTGTGGTATACCTGTTGACTTTTCTGTGTTTGTTTTTCAGGCCATTTACGCTAAAGGAGCCCCACTTACCAACTGCTGGGGCTTCAATGATGGCACTGCGCGTGCTATATGCCGACCAACTAGGCAGCAGCAGCTGTATTTTAGCGGGCACAAAAATTTCTTGCGCTGAAGTACCAATCGATAATGTGCCCGAATGGCATCATTTTTCAGTTGGATGGATGTTATCCAGGCAGCAAGCACGATGCTGGTGAGTAAAGGGTAGTTCATATGCCTGGAAGTCACATTTTCCTTCATGTTGCCGTGGGACTGTCATGTACACCAAGTATCAAACAAAATAGGTCAAATTCTTAGGGCTACAGTTTGTTTGAAATATATCCTTTCCACACAAACTATGGTACTGACTTACAGCTCAGTGAAACTCACGTTAGATCATTGTCACTTAGCTTGGAGTACACCAAGTTAAGTGGCATTTATTTATTTCAAGAAAGGTACCTCAGACATGCATATGAATTCTCACAGTGCAATTAGACTGCAGCTTTATTTAGTCCTTAAAAAGTGAGCAAAGCACAAAACCCTCATGAATTTTGCCTTAGTGTGGTATTCATGTCGAAAATAAGAAATTCTATGGCCAGCCTCAGGACATTAGCTGAACTAAGTAACACTGGAGTAGGCTATTCAAGAAGACGTGGCAAGGAAAAGGTAGTGCTGACGGGTGAACTTTATATCTAAAATGAACACCTTTGTTATGCTCTTGCGTCTCTCATTAAGTGCTATGCTGTCATTGATTCTAGTTTGTTTGCCCACTGCTACGAATGACTTCCCACTGTATTGAAATAGCATGCCTTAAGTTCACTTATGTGTGAATAATGCTGTTTTTTGTATTCTTTGGTGTTGCCTTAACGGACTTCTATGTTTTAAATTCTATATATAGCTTTACTGCTTCCTCCCTGTTGAACATCGATCTAGCAAGAAGAAAAAATAAAATTTAGTAAAATAAGCAGACGCATTGAGAGCCTGCTAGGGCATCTCGCCTATTCTGTTGCTACTTTTATATTCTGTACCACACCTGCACCCAATGTTATCAGCAGGCGTAGTGGTGCTAACGCAGTGTCTCATTTCAATTTTTGCAGGTAACTTTGGCAAAAGCCAGGTGTACACTAAACTGGAAAAGCTGGTGCAGGGACACCACTACTGTTTTTACGGGGACCCTGCTTACCCATAGCGGCCACTACTGCTGAAACCTTACGGCGGTGCATTTTTGACTCCGGAGCAATGCGCGTTTAACAAGGCAATGAGCAGCGGGAGGCAGGCCGTGGAATGGGGCTTCGGAAAAATTGCTGGACTCTTCGCCTTTGTAGATTTCCGAAAAAAACAAAATATTTTCCGCCAAAATGTTGCAAGGATGTACAAAGCGAGTGCATTGCCCTGCAAACTGCCATACTTGCCTGTACGGTGCACAGGTCTCACAATTCTTTGATCTGCAACCACCATCCTTGGAAGTTTACTTGAATGCCCGTTAACTTTAGGGACAGCTTTCAATGTGGCACTGGGGAATCCCTTTGCTTATTAAAAGAATAAAGTGTGCAACGAACGACTTTTTTATTATTTCATTGCTTCCACACATTTTTCTTGTTAGGTCTGTTACTTCTTGGCTGAGTTTATCGAACATCTGTTCCATGTGCTTCACGAAGTCCAGGCGTTGCTGCTGGCGACTTGTAACCTCAAGTTCGTTCTTTATTTCGCCAAGTGCCACCTTGCTCTCCTCCAGAGCTAGTCGTCTCTCTTCAATGTCCAATGTTCTGTTTTTGACTGCAAGTTCCCTTTGCCGGATCTCGAATTCATACATTTGACGCATACTCAACGATTGTAAGCCCATGCTTTGTAGGCCTCTGATTCCTGCAAATTTTGGAAAATGAGGCAATTCAGTAAGTCAGTTCACATACGCATATCACATGTCATAGAAAGCTAATTTGATGGACTCTAAGACAAACATATCAGCCTTCAACTCTTTGTTATCGCACATCATTTAGTGATAATCTATTTTGTGCTTCAGCAGGGTGATCCCCGAAGATTGATAACATCGCAGCCGTTGCTAGGATCCTGACATTTCGTGTAACGACAAAATAAAAACTGTTCAGTTACTGCTATTTACAAGTGTTCAATGTAGAAAGAGGGTCAAAGTTTCCAGTTGTCCTATGCTAACCTCATCCAAAACTCCCACTTATGCGTGGTAAAAAAAGCAATCACTCTTTTAACCTTGCTTCGAGTACATACAGATTTTAAATCATGGCCCTGACTCACATCACAGTGTTGTCCTAAGTTACTTTTTAGAGTTGTGACACTTGTCTAAAAATAACACTAACGACAACCATTCATGTGTCTATGCCTGCATGCCATGTTCATTTTAAACGTGATGTTCACAGGCTACCAGTGTTCCAGCAATGAATGTAAAGTATTGGGCTAGTTGGTCTTGCATATAGTGAAACCAGGGAGCCCAATGGTCTAGACTCTACAGAAACATCATGTTGCCCATTCGTACTGCGCCTTGTGTGCAATATTGCACCATGTTACGACGTGGATAAAGAGTCCTTCAGGATTTACCTGTACTCGCTGTTACAGGAACCCGTTGCCTAGCTGCAGGTGGCGGTTGTGGCTGCAGTTGCTGCTGCTCTTGTTGCTGCTGCTGTTGTTGTTGTTGCTGCTGGTGGTGGTGTTGCTGTTCCTCCTTCTCCTTGTTACACGGCTCTCCAGTGAGTTCAACAGCAGCAGGACTGCACGGGGTGGTCACTGAAAGCAGGAGTTGTGCAGCACGTCCTGATTGTAATGCATAATGGAAAACTGGGAGATGTCAGATAATAACACACTAGCACATTCCATTACAACTCTGGAACATTGGGAACCGCCAATAGAGAATAACTTTCTTGTATTACAAAAATACATAGCCGTCCAAATTGCGAATGTTATGAATGAATATTGTGAGCTCACATGCGAATCACACTTTGAAAGTTTACTTTGCATGTTCTAGGTAACGTTAAATAGTAAAACAAACTATTACGGACTTACTCAAACCACAAATGAACTATGCGCACTGTTATGCAACTTAATGGATTGACAACTTCATTAATGAGTTAGGTCGATACATGAAAATGCACCTGCTGCTTGGGATCACTGCAAACTATTGATTTTCATTGGTGTCACTATGCGAATCAATAGAGTTGGCAGACAGGGCAGAAAGAGTGCTTCATTTCTTTTTCAGTGGTTGCAAATATGCAAGCACGTTATAGAATGCGAGATACTTCAAGTGTCGCAAGATATTGCATACACATGTTTATGATCGTAGAACCAATTTATTGATTTTAGAGATATGAGGCTTTACTGCTACACTCACCTTGATCTTCATCTGCACGAACTTGTTCCGGCGGCGTCGCCAGACAGGATGCAGCAGCGTGACTTCTTTTGCGGCCACAGCTGTTGGAACTTCTAGGCGCTACTCGGGGACATAATTTATAGACCTTATATAATCCCACAGGTCCTGCAATATCTGCTCTTTTTCGGCGTAGTGTTCCTCCATTACCGACCTGCAAAGCAAAATGCGAGCATGTTACAGGAGGCTTGCTTCTCTCTAAAACAAGTCTCTAAATACTCGCTCACGCTAGCGGCCCGGCAATGGCTCTCAAAAACTATGCCGAATCGGGACGAGTACATTGCTGTCGAAGCTTAAGGACATGAATCTAAAGCGAGTGTAAGCATCAATTTGGAGCTTACAAGCTACAGAGCGCACGGCGGAAACTTGATAGATTAGACGTGGACAACAAGAGTTAGCTTTTTTGACAGTGCAACTATGTTTGTCGGAGGCGCGAACGACTTTAAGCCTCGCCGGCATCGCCGTGCGCGTTGGACAGCTCTCGCGCGGGATTAAATGCTATCTGCGCAGGTAATACATGAAAATTGGTACTTACCTTCTTAAGTTTCTGGTGTCTTCTTGCCTCCAGTAACCGATTAAAAGTTCTACAAGTTCTACACGATCTTTTAGGCTTCTGAGAGTAATCTCCCGGCGGAGCACACGTTTCAAGTTGCCAGTCATATGGATCCACTGTAAATCATCGCCAAAAGGCTACATCGCTGCCACTTCTCTCCAAATTGTCATGCCGTCTTCAGTAGTAAAACACCGCCGGGGCCTTTTCGCCAGCAGCTGAGCCTCCGCAGCGCTTGGAGGTGCCGCTGAAGACATGCCGCCGCCGCTTGTGTTGGGGGCTAACATATTTAACACGCTCGCACGCTCGCACGCTCGTCCGCTGAGCCCGCTTCGCTGAAGAGATGAAGTTAGCGGGTGAGCGACCCTCTCTGTAAAGACGCGGGCTGCCCCGGCGTGCCGCGCATGCGCAGCTGGCGTCTCCGCTCCTCCACTGGACCCGCTGTCCCGCTGAGCCGCTTAGCTCTTGGCTATACCATAATATCCTGCAGCTTAATATAACAAAGAAAAACTGTAATATAGCAAAGAAAAACGCTTTGAACAAACAACTTAGCCGGCAAACAGTTGCAACTTTGCATGGGCATGAGTTAACCATGCAGGGTTAAAGAGCAAAAGTTTTTTCTTGTCTTGTGCCAAAAGCATCTTTCGTGAAACAGTAATGGTAATACTTTAGTTGATGGACTCTGCCAGCTTTTCGATTATTATATATAATTTCACCCTTGATGCCTATGTGTTTGAAGAAAAAATAATATAATTCATTGTCCTGCTCTAGATGACGGTACAGAACACTTGTCTGGGGTACCACTAAAAACATAAACTACAACAGGATTATATTGTACGGAGATGAAGTGACAAAAGACGAAGGACAACAACAGCACATCGGCCAATCCCCCACAATTGGTGTGAGACACAACATTGGGCTAAAAACAAGAAAAAGCTGAAAGGCACGCGAGTTTTTCATTGAGGCACAGTGACTCCTGCCTGTGTTTTTCCTCCGTAAATCTATCTTGTACATAAGCCACCAACCGCGTGACGTATTGGTAAGAGCTGCTGGGTACAACACCAGGTAACGGAGCTTCAGAGCGATCGTCGCATCGCTTTCCTGGCCATGGCCAACGTTGAAGGCTCCGCGCCAACGTCAGGGTCTCTGTGGAACATGGCGTCGCCACCATAGTTTGTACGCCACTTAAGGATCCCGGTGCAATCTTCGGGACCGATGGCGTCGACGTTGAAGATTGGTTGGCCATGTTTGAACGTGTAAAAGGGTCGAAGAAATGGGAACGCACACTTCAGTTGGCTAACGTGTTTTAATTGAGAGGCACGTCCAAGGTGTGGTATGAAAACATCTAATAACTCACAAGCTGCGACCAATGCAAATAAAATATGCGAGAGCATTTTGCAAATCCACCAGCCGTAACCGGGCTTCCGTGTCTAATGTCCCAAGGAATCGTATCTCTCATACATTCAAAACGTGCTGGCCCTCAGCCGAAAGGCCGAATGTGTCATGACGGTAGAAGACAAGGCCGTACATGTGCTAAAGAGATCGCCGACGACGCATTCAATATCCTGATGTGCAAGGGCTGTTCCATCATGGACGCGATCTTCAAGGTGGTCGAGAGTTCGAGCAAGTGAAAAGTCGCTGCATTCTGCAACTACTCGCTATGCTTCCGAACACCGCTGCGATGTCGACTTGCGACGTTGAGTCCTCACAACAACGTTCATCGCCGCTGGAAGACCAGACAACAATGGTGCGTCGCCAACTGGAAGCAATGGCGCCCTGAGCGTTCTATTTGCGCATCACCGATGCCACTCCTGTAACCGCCCCTCTCGCCAGGCGCTTGAAAACACCGCAGTGCATTCCGTCTGCTATGTCACCGCACCAAGAGTCAGTAAGCGAATGCTATTTTCTAATGTCCTCCTCTGACTGACAGTTTCTTCCACGTGTCGAGACACGAATAAGAGGCGAACTGCAAAGGGCTGCCCTATATTTTAGAGTGAAAGCTGTTATGAGATAAGAACACGTGTCTCGCGCGGCACCGTAGCTTTCCTCCGCCGCAGCCGCCGGTGTCCGTAACTGGTATCGAACAAAGAACTTAGTTAATACAAAACACCAATGACACAATGGAACTCAACCCTTGTGCGCTGCGTGCCAGGCCAGTATTCTACCACCAAGCCAATGCCAGTGTTTGAAATTTGTTTGTAAACTGACCTTAGGCAGGCTCCATGTCTGAAAAGGAATCGCGTTATTATGAGTAATAAAGCGTTTTAGAACATCAAAGGAACAGCTAGGCGTAACACAATGTGAATTGTGAAATGGGGGGTCGCGCAATGCTCCAACCAAATAGAAACCTTGTTCTTGAGCCCATAATATCTGTGGCGCATACCCACTTCAAGCATATTTCTTCGTCGTCATCAGCCGCTGCATAAGAAAATTGCACGAAATTCCTAACAAGTGCGTAGCAGATACACGCTCCTCCGAAAAATGATGAAGGATAGCACAGTGAACGCTGGCTTGCAACACAAAAATTATTATTTATGGTTTAGCGGGTACCCAGTTTTGTCTTGTAGCATCCCATAGAGTGTTTAGAAAAGGCTCCAAAATGGCGCTCTTTTAGCTTCCACTGTGACTGTGCCGGACGTTTCGCGCAGGCCTGGCGTTTTTTTTCTCAACTTCCACTACGTTAGACATATATCTCGCCACTGCCGCAACACATGGTCCTCGGCATCTCAACCAACTACCAATATGACCCGCTGCTATGGTAGTGTCCGCACCTTTTCAGCTGCCCACGAGTCCCACGCGATTGACAATTCTCGCAACATTTGGTACAGCCACTCACCTTCACCACGTGGGCACGAATCTCGTTCGCCCCAAACGCGTCACCCATCCTCCCGTTCACCGCAACCACAGCGCCCTTCTTCCCCCGTAGCTTCCGGCCGCACCATCTCGGAAAACTAAGAAATGCAGCCTGCTAAGATGGTGCTGCATTGACAACTTCCGCAGCAAATCCTCTCTCCGTTCCCACCAGACGAAGTGTAATAACGTTGAAGTAAACGGCGTAACTGTACAAGCACTTGTCGACACTGGCGCAGGCATATCGGTGATGCGTTCAAGCCAACGCACCTATTTAAAAAACGTTATGACACCAGTGGGAGCACAAATGCTCCGCGTGGCCGATCGCGGCACGCTGATAGTTCTTGATCTGTGTACTGCCCGCTTAAGTGTGGTCGACCACACTATTTCTGTCTTTTTCACCATGATTGACCACTGCCCTTATGGCGTTGTCCTTGACCTGGACTTCTTGTCGAACCATTCTGCTCTGATCTATTGTGCTACCGGCATCCTTCAGCAAAAGCTTCCTCTTGTAGTCGCCACTCCCCGCACTGCCCCGCCGCCGCACCTGTGTTCTCTTCAGGATGTGCGTTTATCATCCCAGGCAGCCACATACGTCGTTTTTTTTACTGCGCAGCCACAAAGAGAGAGAAATAAAATGAGGGAAAAGAAAGAAGGTCACGGAAAAGTTGAGGCACGCGGTTTGCTACCCTGCTCTAAAGGAAAGGCGATTGGGGAAGAAAGATGAGAAAGAAAGCGAAGAGCAAAGTAGACGCACGAGAAAGATAAAAAGAGAGTGGTGGTGCTATTGCTTATTCAATAGGCCACTACCACGCAAAAGTTGAATAAGGCTTTCAATGATTTTCTGTGTGAAGACAGATCATATCGGCTTTCAAGTACTGGCTGTTCTGACGAGGGTCTGTCGTCAAGGCGGGCTAGCGCAGCAGCTTGCGGCTGTATTTTCATGCTGTAGCAAGGGCAGTGACCAAGACCGTGCTCTATCAATTCGATGCTGCCGTAATTATCACGAGAAACACTGTCTTCTATGGCAAATCGGAAGTCAAAATTTCGCTCAAAGCGACACCAAGCCACAGCCGGCAAAGCACCGTTGTCTCAAAATAAGAGAGTACGGACGGAGGTCGAAGTCGACGACATGACTCGAGCCTATACAGTCGCGTGTGTCGTAAGCACTCGGTGTTCCACAGAGATTTTACATCTTCGTGAGCAATTTTTCGCATTTTCATTGCAGCATCAGTTCTTGGTAATGGAATAGATTTTCTTACACCGTCTTCCTGTGCTGATCGAGAAGCTGCGTCGGCATGTTCATAGCCCAATATGCCGCAGTGACTCGGAAGCCACTGAAACGAGATTTCGTGTCCTCCATCAAAGAGGTGGTGGAGCCTCTAAATTCCAGCACTAGTTGTTCATGAGGTCTCCGGCATAAGGCGAATACCAAACACTGTAGTGCTGCCTTGTAGTCCGTGAATACGCTGTCTTTCTTGGCTTGTTAATGTTGAATAACTTTAACTACACTACGTAGAGCAGCAAGTTCCACAGATTTCAATGTTGTCCAGTGGGATAACCAAATCTTCGTCGTTGTCACTGTTGGAGGAAAAATCACCGACCCTGCAGACCCATTCGCTGTAGTTGAAGCGTCAGTATATAGATAGTTATGTTCACTGTACTTCTCATACAAGAAAACAGAAAGCTTATTTAGCGCTGGGGATGAGAGCCGGGCTTGTGACCGTAGGCCTCACACCGTGAGTTCAGCCTGTGAATGAGTCGTACAACATGAAGAATATGCAATTCTGGATGAAGTTGTATATCGCGTAGGTATGCGTGGACGAAATTACAAGAATGCTTGGCAAAATTAGGCACGAGGTCGTTCGTCTGGCAGTGAGGCTAGATGATGGGCCGGGGGGTGACTAAGGTGCCTCTTGTGTGCTCTGAATGCTTCGATCATGACATGCGCCTGGAGCGGGTAGTCATTTGCAATCACAATCGTCTCAGCTGTTGACCAACATCTCGGTAGCCCCAGACAGCCAAAGGTTCCCGATGGTCAATGTGTCCTCTTTCCACTCACCGACGTTGCCACAACGTTGCGGTTCCCCTTGCGCTTGTGACTATCACTGACAACTACACCTCTTTCCCATTTCTGAATTTCAGCTTGTGCCCTCAAATGCTTCCTCTTGGCATGTTCTTGGCCAATATGTTTATTGTAGACGAATTCGAAATTGTGGCTCTCACTACCGAGACTGATTCCTTTCAGTCTTAGGTAGCTGACAGCAACTGTTGAATGCAGGACCGCATCTCGAAGATGACTTCACACAACCTCAACACTGCGCAAGCCAACAACATTCGTCGCTTTCTTGCTTCAAATACCGACATTTTTTTTATTTTGACGAAAAACCTGTAGCGCATACATTCGCCGTTCAGCACCGTATAAACACTGGTGACGCCACTCTTATTTATCGACGCCCCTATTGTGTCTCTCACACTGAACGCAGATTTATTCAAACGGAAGTCGAGAAAATGCTTAGCAAAAGTGTCATCGAACCATCAAATAGCCCTTGGTCCTTTCGCGCTTCTGAAGAAAAAATACAGCAACTGGCACTTCTGTCTTGACTGTCGCCGCCTCAGCAAAATCACGCGAAAAGACGCATACCTGCTAGAACGCATCGATGACGCGTTGGACTGCCTGCGCTGAGCTACATACTTCTCGTCTAATCTTCGGTCCAGTTACTGGGAGATGTCTCTCGATAAAATAGACCGGGAGAAGACGGCCTTCATCACACCTGATGGTGTATACCAGTTTAAGGTCAGGCTTTAATAATTATCTAACGCCCCTGCGACTGTACAATGAATGATGGACTCTCTACTGCGGGGTTATAAGAGTCTACTTGACTCTGTTACCTATACGATCTTACCGTTATTTATACGGTCATTTATTATACTTAAGACAGCCACCTAACCCATCTCGCTGCAGTTTTTTGTCTTCAGAACAGGTAGACTTCAAGTGAATTCTAAGACATTTCAACTTCGCTTTCCTCAAATTACCATGCTGGGAAATCTTGTAAACGCCGATGCCGTCCAACCATATTTAGAAATGATGCGCGCCATCCGCAGATCTCCGGTGCCTCGTTCTACCCCTGACGTCTGGAGCGTCATCGGCGTCTCCCCTTACTTTTGTCGTCTTATGAAAAACTTCGCTAACGTTACTACATCACTCACACGCATGCTGAAGAAGGATATCAAATTCTTATGGGGCCTGCAGCAGGCTCGAGCATTTAACATTCTCATCGGCTACCTAACTACGCCACCCATACTTGCCTCAGTTTAATCCATCTGCTGCCACAGAAGTACGCACCGACACAAGTGGCCTCGGTATTTGTGCAGTTCTCGCTCAGTGGCACCACACTAGACATTGCGTGATAGTTTACGCCAGTCACCTGCATTGTCCCCCCGAGACACATTATTCTATCACCGAGAGAGAGAGAGAGAGTGTGTGTGGAGCTTAGTTCGGGTCATCCCCACGTTCAGGCCATATTTATATGGCTGCAGGCTCTCCGTCGTTACAGAGCACCATGCCCTCTGTTGGCTGACTTCTCTGATGTACCCAACTGGACGTCTTGGTCGCTGGGCTTTGAGGCTCCAAGAATTTTTATTCAGCGTCAGCTATAATTCTATCCTTTTGCACAAGGATGCAGACTGTCTTTCTCGTCATCTGGTGGATCCTTCTGATGCCATTGTTCCTGACCCAGACCGCTGCGTTATGGCATTTACTGACATCAGCGATATGCACAACGAACAACGACGAGATGAGTCAGTGCGCACTATCATAGACACCATCTAGTCGAACAGCCGTGACGCCAAATCCCGTATGTTCGTGCTTCATGACGGTATATCCTCTACTGCCGCAACGTCAGCACTAAACTCCATGAGCTTCTGCTTATCGTTTCTCGTCATCTACGGCCTGCCATACTGGAGCAACCCTACTACTACCAAATAACAGCACTCCTCAGAGTTTCCCGCACATACGACCACGTGCGACATCGGTTCTTCTGGCCTGGACTGTACCGCAGCATACATCAATATATCTCACCACATGCGACCTATACTAGCGCCGGAAAAGACGCTCTTTGCAGCCAGAAAAATATCTTCACCCGATTTAGGTCTCCTCTGAATCATTTCATTGCGTGGCACACGATGTTTTTGGCCCTTTGCTGATAACTACACTGGGAATGGATCGCCGTCGCCGCAGATTATGCGACCCGTTACAAAACAAAAAAACATGCCAACCAGTTGCGCCACTGATCTCGTGATTTTATTCATGACGCCATCCAAAACCACGATCCACCCCGACAACTGCTTACGCACCACGTATGCTCTTTCTTGTCCAGAGTTCTCGACGACCTCCTTCGATCGTGTGCCACAGACCACAAGTTATCTATCGTCTACCACCCACAAAATAATTGCCTAACCGAACGTTTTAAGCACATGCTCATCGACATGCTTTTTAAGTACGTCTTTCAAGATTATCAAGACTGCACTATGTTGGCCTATATGACTTTCTCATATAATTTTTGCTGACATGACACCATGTGAGCCTTTTTATCTTTTGTATGCTAGCGGCCCCGTGTTGCCATTTGAAACCGCCTTGCCTCTCCTGCCATTTGCTACCAAGTACGCCCGCGAAGCCATTGATTATGCTCACATAACTCATCAAGTTGCCTGCACACTTAACTAAATCTCACCCATAAGGGTGTAAATGAGCTTGTCACCCGACGAACACCCTTTCCTTCCTATTAGGTGTTAAGAAAAAAGGTGCTCAGAAAGGGTGCAGAGCTCAGAATCCTTGAGAAAAGAGTGCAGAGCAAAAATTTTAAAGGGTGTAGTGGTTGCACCCTTTCACTAAGAGTGCTGTCATGCCATAACTCTCTTTCAAATGGGTGCTGGAAGGGTTCTCCACATTGACGCACCAGTGGGCCAAATCTAGGATTGATGCTGGAGATAGCTACAAATGCCGAATGCTCTATACTCTCTAGACCACGCTGTGTGACAGGCCACATACTGTTTGTTAATACTTGAACAGATGTACAATGTCGTCCATTCCACCCTGAACACGTGAACCGTGCGGCCGGCACTCCACGGCGTGCCTCTCGCAGGTGCTTATGAAACTAGCGCTGAAGCACAGTGACATCTCTAGGTGGCGCTTCTCAATCATCGTCTTTTAAAAACAATAGCTCTGCAGTTAAGCTACTGATAATTCGGCTGCAGTGTTTTGCTCTTTCTACGTGTAGGCAAATAGAAAATCTGGCACTGTTATCGAGAAGTGCTGCAATTGTGCCTTACTTTGTCTAGGTGCTGCCCCTTAGGTTTCTTATTGCTGGCCTGGAAAGAACAAGCCGCTCTTACTGCACTTCTTAAGAACAGTGCTGAATTTTAGATAAGCTTGCACTGTTGGAAGAGCAAAGTTAGCTTCACTGCAAAAGAAGTGTGATTTGGCGAAGCCGCCGTTCTGCAGCACTCAACCAAGTGAAGGCCCCGCTTACAGCTGTCTGTACGTTTCTGTGTCAGTTAACAAAG